TTTACAGGGAGCCAGTGCAGAGAAGCTAAAACAGGAGAAATATGATCTTGTTTCTTAGTTCCTGTTAGTACACGTGCTGCTGCATTCTGAATTAGCTGGAGAGTTTTTAAGGACTTACTAGAGCTACCTGATAATAGAGAGTTACAGTAATCCAGCCTAGAGGTAACAAAAGCGTGGACCAATTTTTCTGCATCTTTTCGGGTCAGGATAGGCCTAATTTTCGCAATATTACGCAGATGAAAAAATGCAGTCCGTGAGGTTTGTTTTAAATGAGAATTAAAAGACAAATCTTGATCAAATATTACTCCGAGGTTTCTTACGGTAGTGCTAGAGGCCAGAGCAATGCCGTCTAGAGAAACTATGTCTTCAGATAAAGAGTCTCTGAGTTGTTTGGGGCCAAGAACAATAACTTCAGTTTTGTCTGAATTTAACATCAGGAAATTGGTGCTCATCCAAGTTTTTATGTCTTTAAGGCAGTTATGGAGTTTAGTTAATTGATTACTTTCTTCTGGCTTCATCGATAAATACAACTGAGTATCATCCGCATAACAATGGAAATTTATAGAGTGATTTCTAATGATGTTACCTAAAGGAAGCATATATAGAGTAAATAGGATTGGTCCGAGAACAGAACCTTGCGGAACTTCAAAACAAACTTTGGTACGTAAGGATGATTCATTATGAACGTCAACAAACTGAAAACGATCAGATAAATAAGATTTAAACCAGCTTAGTGCAGAACCTTTTAGGCCAATTAAGTGATCCAGTCTCTGCAGTAGAATTTGATGGTCAATTGTGTCAAACGCCGCACTTAGATCTAATAAAACAAGTACAGAGACAAGTCCTTTGTCTGAAGCAATCAGAAGGTCATTTGTAATTTTAACTAGTGCTGTCTCAGTGCTATGATGCACTCTAAATCCTGACTGAAATTCCTCAAATAAATTATTATCATGGAGAAAATCACACAGCTGGTCTGCGACTACTTTCTCAAGGATCTTTGACATAAAGGGAAGATTAGATATTGGTCTATAGTTGGCTAACACCTCTGGATCCAGGGTGGGCTTTTTTAGTAGAGGTTTAATTACAGCTACCTTAAAAGACTGTGGTACATAGCCTGTTAATAAGGATAGATTGATCATATCTAATATATGAGTGTTAACTAAAGGAAAGACCTCCTTAAGTAGCCTAGTTGGGATGGGGTCTAAGAGACACGTTGATGATTTAGATGAAGAAATCACTGCGGTCAATTCTTGAAGAGAAATTGGGGAGAAGCAATCTAAATATATATTAGGTCTTACAGCTGTGTTTGAGGTTAGATAGGTACTATCTGAGGACAAGAGGTCATGAATTTTGCCTCTAATAGTTAGAATTTTGTCATTAAAAAAGCTCATAAAATCATTACTGCTAAGGGCTAAAGGAATACAAGGCTCAATAGAGCTTTGACTCTCAGTCAGCCTGGCTACAGTGCTGAAAAGAAACCTGGGGTTGTTCTTGTTTTCTTCTGTTAATGCTGAGTAATAGTTTGCTCTAGCATTGCGGAGGCCCCTCTTATAAGTTTTGAGACTGTCTGTCCAGATTAAACGAGATTCTTCCAGTTTGGTCGATCGCCAATTCCTTTCAAATTTTCGCGATATTTGTTTTTTATGCCTTTGATATTTGTGGACCAATGGAAAAGGGACTGTGAAAGAGGACTGTGGTTCACTTAACCTGTCCCTTGTGAACACGAAACGCTGCGTGTCCACTCTACCGCTATTTCAGTGGGACGCATAATAAACACAACGGAACCACGGCCACAGGTAACGACAGCACGACAAGTGGACAAGGAGTACTCTGGTCTGACGATGGAGCAACTGCACTTCTACAGATATGGAACGAGGAAAGCATCAAACAGCAACTGTCCACAATGCACAGAAGCGCTAAGGTTTTCCTCCAATTTTAAGTTCATAACCGCACTGCAGTGTCACGTCAAAGTAAAAACAAAACTACATCAATATATATGATATATAGGCTGTAGTGTGAACAGAAAGGGGACTGAGGCCCCGTCAGAGCTGAAGTTGACCTCAAAGTCGTCTGCCCACTTTTTGATCCACTTTAAGAGAACGGAGTTCAGTTCATTTAAAAAGGACCAAGGGTGAAAACACCTTTAGTGTTCACCATGATGACCTACCTCAAGTAAACATTTACATTTTCAAAGCAGAACTAAAGGCAAATGACAGCCACTATAACTTAAAGGTCAGATTTGAGCTCATCCCGAGACTCCTCCCAGAAGTAGAGCTCACGCCGATCCTTGGAGCCGTGCTTCTTATCAAAACCACATTTGCATTGTTCATACATATCATCTCTAGCAGCCTAATCCCTTTTTAGGGGTATCTACAGCTTTTTTTGTAGCTTTTATGAGATTAACTGGGGTGATTACTTTTCTAACAGTGACTCAAAATTTGGGAATGTCAAAACTTCACATAAAGCTTGAAGTGATTTGAATTTGATTTGCTGTTACGTGTATTCGAGGAAGACTTAATTTTTTTTTACTTGACTGGGCTTGTTTTTTCGTTCAGCATACACCCTTAGGTACTGTGAGTGCGTGTCACTAGTGAACAAACCTGTCCTTATTTTATCACTTCAGAGAAGTAACTGCAGCAGTGAACAGCAGCTGGAATCATTGGAGTATAGTTATTCTTAAAGTATAACTGTCCTTTCTGTTCTTCTGATTAAGTTACAAACTATTTAACACTGATTAACAGATCCCTTTGTATAAGTTTAATTGAACCTACATGTGAATTAGATCATCCAGAAACCTCCTCCAGTGCCGACAGAAACATTACAGAGCAGAGATGTTGGGAGGATTAAGGCCAAAACACACCGGCGGCGTCATTGACGCGAGTCAAGTGCCACCCCCAACACACACAAAAAGCGTCGCGCTGCGGGGCATCAAACGGATTTCTATTGCACCCTCCAGTCCGCCAGGCTGGGAAGTACAAAATAGCGCTTTTTCAAGGGCGGCCACGCTGGAAAAATAGGACAATAGCGTAAAGTGACGCGGCGCGGCACGTGGACGCGCATCGAGCCGCCGCCGGTGTGGGTTTGTAAATAGAAAATAGTGGGGGCGGCTGTTTTGACGCGCGTCGTACGGCGCCGGTGTGTTTTAGCCTTTAGGAGACTGAATCACACTGTATTGTTAATTATTCTGTCCAGCCAACAACCCATCGTTTTAGCCTCGCCTTTGAATGTAATACTTTGAGAACCTTGTTCTGAGAGTTGATCTGCAGATAGAATTCTACATGTGTGCCGTGAACTTCTGTCCTTCATTTTGATTTCAACTACACATGTTAAGTTTCATGACTGTATCTTGCACAGTAGTGAGGCCATCAAATTGACAAAAACTGTCTACAGACAGACAGACGGACAGATGTATTAGCACCTGCCAAAAATAGCTACTGAAACGGCTTTTGTGGTAGCTCTCGTCACAATTGGTTTCACCAGAGGCACATTTTTTGCGCGCACACACACACACACTCACACTCACAAGGTTAAAACAATACTAGCCATCACAACGTTGTCACTGCTGGTGCATACTGGGCAAACACTCTGAGACAGTCCTCAGAGATATTTATTGTGTCATCAATCAGGAACTTCTTGCTATAATAATGCAAAACACACAACAGTTTAAGAACCAACACAGCCAAATCAAAGTTATACAAAAACAAAAGAAATGAAAAACAAAAATGCAGCCAACACTGCTAAAAATATCATTAGTTTAGTAAGCTAATGCTATCTATGTGTTTGCAGTGGTCGTTGCTCTGGGCGTTGGCATCTTGAGGTTCATTACAAACAAACAAACAATATTTCACTGGTTCTGTCTGTCTTTCTGTGTATGTATGTATATTTTGATCTGTCTGTTGGGTCTTTCATCCGGCACTAAGCAGTAGAAAGCACACTACTGTTGATAAATGATAGAAGCTAAACATTTACCACCGGCACAGTTCACTGCACTCACTCTTCAGTTGCCTGTGAACAAGCGCTGGCAGGAAACCGGACCCCGCCCCAGTTAATGGCCTTTTGTTGAAGGTAATTCAAATATTGCCCCATAATCAGATAGCATTTCACTTTCATTTCATGTGAATGTACAAGACCTTCCATAAGTTTCACATTGAATCACTGTCAAGGGGAGACTAGGGAGTGGTCTGAGGATGAGTACAACCCCTTCTCGGGAGAACTACTTATAGCTGTGAAAAACCAAACTCACACTCAGTCGTGTCCTGCCATCACAAAATGCATCTCCTCACGCTGATCTTGGGTATTGTGCTTCTCCCTAAAGGCAAGTTTTTGTTCTGTTATTTGTTTTGTAACTGTTTGATCTTTAAGGAAATGATTATAATTTATTATTACCACATTTACCTTTACAAATACTACAGATGTGTCACTTCAGGTCACATGCCAAATGACAGTATTGTGTGTAAAGTACTTGTTGCTCTTTGTTACTCACCTGCAGTTTGTACACAGATGATTTGGCTTTCTCTATATTCTGCTGTAGTTAAAAAACAAACATCTGTCTGAATGGCACTTGACAGCTACCTTCATACATATTTTTGCAGCTGTGCTCATAATTTTGATGAATTAACTTCAGAGTTAGGATGTTAAAAAGATTTTGTCCACTCCTTGTGGAATAAAATGTTGATTTTATATTTTCATTTTTTAACTTATGAGTTTTGTGTTTTTTCAGCCTACTCCCTGAAATGTTATGAGTGTATACCGGGAGCCTCAGGAACCTGCACAGACACAACAAAGGAATGTCCTTCGCAGTGTGGTGCAATAAGATTCATATCATACGCAGGTATGGCCATTTGTGGTGCATTGTTTTTTATTATAAAACTACTTTGCACTGGCCCAGTTTACAAAGGTTCCTCTTTTCTTTCAGGTGGATAAAAACTTAATGAAATCAACTCAAAGGATTGTGATGTGGCTGAAAAATGTATTGAGGCCTCAGACAACTTTGGGATAGACAAAACCATAATTACCAGAAAGTGTTGCACATCAGAGCTCTGCAACACCCAACCTGCCCCCGGTAACTTTCTAATATTGTCTGTTAGTATTTAGATGCTACTCTGCACTGAGAGCTGTTTTTATTGGAAAGTGACATTTAGTCGCATGAACAAAAAGCTGTAAAAACTGAAAACCACAGACCGTAAAAGTTCATGTTTCAGATATCAAATAACAACTTGTTTTATTATTTTAAAATAACTCTGATTTTACTGACTAAGCCAATACATTTTTAACAGATACAAGTCATTTATTTATGTCTTGTTCCATGTAGACAATGTGAATGTAGGTATTGAGAAGTGATGATGCCAGTCCATCTATCAGAACCTGAGACAATATGTTTGGAGCAGATGTAGAAAGAGACACAGGGACACTCAAATTCCAAGACCAGAGCCAGTATGAGGAAGATTACTTTTCTGTCAGTCACCATTTGTTACAGTAGAGCCCACGGGCAAGATACCCCCAACTGTCACAACACAGTTAGTGTGTGTGTGTGTGTGTGTGTGTGAGAGAGAGAGAGAGGCAGACAGACAGAATTTCCAGGTTTAAATCAATTTTGTTTTATTACCTTACCTATTACATAGCTTACTATAAAAAACAGTCACATTTTCCTGTATTTCAAAATCATCACATCATCAGTCCATGAACAGACAACTGGCATCTCAGTTGCCAGAAGAAAATGCTGGCATTGTACATTTTTGCAAACCATGGATACATTACATTTGTACATTTCATATGCAGGCTAACACATCACTGTTTCTAAAGTGCCGTTGTATATGAGCTGACATTTTGTTCCTGAACCTAATCACATGTTAACCACAGTGTTGCTGAAACATAGTTTCAATGTGTCCACTAAAAAAATGTAGAAATGTAACATATCTGTGGTTTGCAGAAACGAACAGTGCCAACATTTATTCTGGCCATTAGGTTGATTTTGTATATCTGTTCGTATGTAAGCTGCTCATCAGCAGGGAAAAACCAACAAAAGTCCATTAAAAGGGATTTTAAAAATGCACTGAAGAAGAACAGGACATTACAGTCACCCCTCAATCCACCTCTACACCTAATACGAACAATGTATGTTCTGTATTACAGAGCCCAGCAAATCCAATCCAAACGGCAAAAAGTGCTTCACCTGTGATGGACAATCATGCACCGCAACTCTGAACTGTGACGGGGATGAGGACTACTGCATCTCATCAAAAGGTAGCCAGCCTATGATACAAACATCTAACTCTGCTCCACATATTCCCTCTGCTCAGTGATTCTAGTTTATGTATTAAAACTGACAGATCACGCACTAACATTATTTTCAATCTCTCAGTGAATGTAGGAAATGACAAGGTGACCGTGAAAGGCTGTGCCTCCAAGTTGGTCTGCTCAAATACACTGTCTGAACAGATATCAGGGGCCATTGGAGCAGAAGTTAGCTGCTGTCAGGGGAACTTCTGCAACAGTGCCAGCAGCACGAGTGCTGGACTTCTGCTCCTGCTGACACCACTGGTCTCTTTGGTCGTGTTTTCTTAAGTGGTGGAGATGGCAGCATCACTGCAGCACATGGCAAACAGCTTTTCTTCTCATCTTCACATGGCCTCATAGTGCTTACACACCCTTGGCCTTATCTTTCTACCTGATGAGTGAGACAGTTTAGCAAACAAAGCATAAAATATAACTTAGTGAAGTTGTGATTTTTATTGGTGTCTTGCCTCAAACAGTTTCTAGCCATGTTGCCTGTGGAGACAATTGCAACTGTCTTGCACAGAATAACTGTCTACAATAGCTTTTATTTTTATTTTAAAGTAAAACAAGTAAAATGTGAAAAACACGTTGAAGCATAATGTTTGTTCTGAGTGCTGTGCTTAACCTGAAACATATTTTTAATTTCATTTATCAAAATCATTCTTTTGATACTGATAAAATGCTCAATAAATAATACATTTCTTATCTTTGCTGTGTATTCTGATTGTTTCTGTGTTTTTTTGAGTGCACTGAATCTAATCTTTATCTCATATAAATATAATACATACAGAGAGGGCCCTCCATTTGAGTCACAAAGTAGATGGCAACAAATATAATTTGTGTGAGGCACATTATCATGAGCCACAGAGAATGGAGGCACTTTGTCATCTTGCAAGTGTGTTCCTACACACAACCCACAGTATTTCCACTCTACCTGCAGCTTTTGAAGTGCACACCTGAAGGCAGCACACACGTACAAATTCACAATGAGACAAGATGACTTTCAGATTGCTTTTCGACCCACTTGAAGTTTTGTTTGCAAAGTTGCTTTGATTCAAAAGCACAAACTTGTGACATTTGGTTTAGTGATACAATGACTTACAATTTTAACATCTAGTCTTCAAAAGAGTAGTGAAACTATTTTATTCATCTTAATCCAGGAACAATTTCAGGGTTTAACCAGAGATGGTTATTGTATTTTACCCCACTGACAAGACAGAATGATGGGTCCCAAACATTATCTGGTTTAAATGGCACAAATACTGTATATTATATGACTAAAGTTGCACTGACGTCAAAGTAATAAGATAACACAACTGTGAATGAACTGACCCACTGATGGTTCATGCAACTGAATCTGATCAGCTGCAGGCAGGAATTTGGCCTGTTAGGCAGTGTGTAGTGGAGCATAGTGTTGGTAAACGACAGCAGCCTTAATAGTTACTAGTCCATACCCATTGAGTGCAGAGTTGCCCATGTACAGTTTCACATGGTGTGTGTTTGGGATACAGGTCATAGGAAACTGCAGATTAAATAGTCAACTGAACCCATTAAGAAGAGCAATGTATTCAGACAGAGTTTTTGTGAATTTGATAGTACGATTGCTTTATTGAAAGTACAGTAGTAGTACCATTGCCAATAGTGGGATAGTTAGTGGGCTAAAACTGTACATTAGTAGTTGTGGTAGCACATTGACAGGTAGATAGTTAAAGTGTTTAAAAAAAACATTGGTCCACAGGGGGAGCCACAGTGATCGGTCGCATTTTAGCCATTTTTAAGCATTTTCTGTTGTTATAGCGCCACCCAGTTGCCAATTAGGGTTAAATTTCTCCAGTCACCTTGAGGTGTCCTGTTCTACATATCTACCAAGTTTAGTAAAAATCGATATGGCGGTTAGGCCTAGATAAGAAATTAGCTCACTAGCGCCCCTATTTTGTTTGATGGGGTCAATAATGGAGGGGTCCCCTCAGATTATGTGTGGTCATATGACTACAAAGTTGAGTGGTGATCGGTGAAACCCTTGAGATGTTATACACCTTTATGTGATGAGCCACGCCCTCCGCAATATTCATTGCCTTATAGAAGCTCAGTTTTAATAAGTTTTCCAACTTTTGCCAAGAGGGAACTTTAGATATTGGTCCCTAGATTATGTTCACCGAGTTTCATGCAGATTGGTCAAACTTCCTAGGAAGAGATCGATTTTTAAGTGTTTTTCAAAAAAATTCAAAATGGCGGAAAATCTATATAACCGGAAGTTATGGGTTCTTAATTAATAGTTATAAGCTGTTGATGTATGTCCATGTGAGTCTACACCCCCCTCAAATGTTCAGCCTTTGTCCATCTCTAGCAGGGTGTCTGTCAGTCGCGTATGACTGGCATGAGATGTGAAGTGCCTGGATTTGGTAGCATGATTATTTAATGCCTATTACATGCATGTGTTGTTTTCAGTCGTGGACCTGTGTATGTGCTATAGTTTGTTCCTCATACATTTACCGCTCACAATTAGGATGTTCTATAATACATACTATAAGACACTCTTCTATTATAAGACCTAAAATCACTCCTCATATTGTGATGGTGAGTGTAAAAATACATCCCCTGAAGACCTGAAGCCTTAGACGTTTCTGTTTTCTCATCGGCTATAAGACAATAGTTGTAGACTCTCAGTCTTGTTAACATGAACCTCCCTCTCAAGTGTTTAGGATAAAATAATCAAATCAATTTGCAGTTTATATGTACAACCCAAACAGCTGAGGCAACATGAAAGAAAAGCATATTTATTGTGTTCAACAGGTGCAAAAAAATCAGTTAATTGAGAGCTGATACACTTTCTGTAAATGAAGTAAATGAAGATTAAATGCAAAATGAAAATCACCCCCACCCTGTAAATATACATGCTCTGTGCAGTATCATGTAAATGAATAATAAGAGCAAAGTGATCCTGGAAGGACGTGATGTTTCTGAGATGTCTTGAAGAACTCAGTAGTTGCCATACACGTGGTAATCCTGCAGCAAATATGAGGAAAAGTGGAATAAATTATAATATCTTATAGTTTTATTTCTGGTGAGGCAAGTACTGAGGATGTTGCTATCCCCCACCCTCTGACTCATGACCCAGAAAGCAGGTTGTCTATTAAATGCATCGAAGGAGATCTACAGAAGAGGAAACACCTGTGTATCCTATGCAGAAGGTAACATCCTGTCAGGTGGAATCTCTCTTTGGATTGATCACTGATCACAGTACATTGCTGCAGTATTAATACTACATTATTTCAACACTGTGGATTGGACCAGCTGTCACAACGTAGAGGGAAAGGGACACCAAGAGAAGGACCCATATGCAGGAAGTCGAGGCAGCAGGATGATTTCAGTGGGTTACTGTTAAAGCGAGGGTAAAGATACAAGCAAGAGGAAAGGTAAACTTGACCAGGCTGGGAGCAGGCAAAATGACAGTAAGCCAAACTAGACAGTTGGCCAGGTAGGCACACAGCAAACACACAGGTAACAGAAGGTGCGGTCAAATAATCTTTTTTGCTTAGGAGGGTTCCTAACTGAGTGAAATGACTCAGGAATATCAAGGTGGCAGCCATGACAAGAGCTCAAAAATACACACCACTTGGCAAAAACAAATAATAAGCCTATCTTGCATAAATGTAACAATTATTTTTATAACTGGGATTCAGGTTGAGCAGGGAAGGCCAGCAAGAGCAGATGGGGGAAGTGGGAACAGGTGTGTAGATGAGATGGGTGGGGCAATGAGATGATGGGGAAAGGAAGGAAAGTATTAGTGGATGGATGGAAAATTGCAATAAAGGAGCCTCAGGAAAAGGGAGCATGACAGACAGACAGTGACACTCAGCATTTAAGAGTGCGACTCCCAAGCACTCCTGATGTCTCTTTGACGAGTGTGTACAAACAAACAAACAAAGCACAGCAGGCAAATCTTTTATTTATATCTGATTTGAACATTACCACCACATCACTACTGACCTCAGGTGTCTCAGGAAGAGTTCTCCAAGTACTATATCAAACAGAAACATAAAAAGCAATGGATAATTAACGAACAGCTAAAGGATACACAATGGTGTGTGATTTTAAAGAGCAGGGAACAGCTGTGTTAATAAAACTCACTGCTTTGGGGATGGGCAGCGTGGCTTGGAGATTTGAGTGTCAGTTTACAGTGGTGGTGTTGTTTCTATGGGAGGAGGAGGAAGTCACACAGTATCAGTTTTAGGCTGTGCTTACTATTAGGGTCATGTGATGCAGTAGTGAAGCATTGATTAACACTTACACATAGCCAACATTGAGGTCCGCAGTGTTGCCTTGGCCTCTGCAAGGGTGATACATATTTTATTTATATTCATAAAACAGGTATTTTTCCAGTGATATAATTGATTAAATAACAAAAGGTTCAAATTGGGACCTTGAAAATCTGCTCCAGAATGACCTCCTGTAAGAATAGCAATGATTAAATATTAAATTGTTAGAAACTTGAAGAGTGAGAATGATAAAGTCTAAAAAAAAATCACCTACCTGGTTTCACTGTCACCTTTCCACCCAATACGACCATCCTCTGCTCTGCTGAAAAGGGAAGAAATGCAAACATGAGCAGTGCTGGACCTAGCATATTCAGTGCCTGAGGCAAGGTTCCATTTTGTATTTATTACTAACAAGAGAAGAGTTAATGGCAAATCAACACAAATAAACAACTTTGTCAGCAAACGATAATAAATAACAACAATGACAGAATACAGTATGTGCAAATTTGCAAATGTTGTATGGCTTTTGCCTTCCACATTACCTCCACTCCAATTTTGCACATGAGGCCCTTCATCTCAGGATTAAAAGTGAAAGGTAACTTTTGGGTGTTCTTACCGGGAGATTCGGTTCCAGATGGACCCCCTGTAAGGAAAGCACAGTGTTAGTACTTGTCAGTATAGGTTTACTGTATTTGTCCTGTTTGTAAAACAACCAGTCTGCTGACTGTTTTTCTGGCCTTGGAGGTCTTTCCCTGTTTTCAGGGTTTCTCCTGGACATTTCAGTGAAGAGAAAGTTTTAGTAAATCATGTTACAGCTCATCATGATATTAGACTAACAAGAAAATGATCTTGAGTACATTTTTAGTAATACTTAGCTGGATAATCTATCCCATAGTGATCTTCTGTGAAAGTTTGAATTGAGACAGATTTACTTTGTTTTTGGTGGAAACACAGGGTGCATGTCCTTAGTGATTTTGGAAAAATGTTTAAGGATTTAGAACAATCTACATAAAAAGACTTTAAGGACATCTGTATTTAAAGTATAGATCTATACTTTAAATACTCTTGGCCTTAATGTTGAGTTTGACCTTAAACCTTTTCTTTGACTCTAGATTGTCCTATGTCCTTAACTTCCTTTTATGTAGATTGTTCTAAATCCTTAAACATTTTTCCAAAATTCCTAAAATTTAACTTTTTTCTATTTCAATTATCTACCATTACTATTGTAAGTAGATTTTTTCCAAATTTAGTTTTTTCCTAAAAATTATTTTTCTAAAATTGTATTCAAAATTTAATATTTTTGTACTTAATCCTTTACAATTATGTTTCATATATTTAGATGTCTTATTTCAAAGTCCTAACAATTGTTTTTGCAGCCTCCCCCTCCTATAGGAATACATTTTTCAAGAAAAAGGGGTATTCTGCTCTTTTCCCACTTTCCACTAAGTGGTGTTTAAAT